AAGTCATTGATGTGTAGACTATGTCAGGCGTCTGTCGAAGGGAATTAATTTTGCACTGTCTTCTTCCTCTTTATGTGAATTTCCCTGGTACACACCAAACCACATTTCCATTTTTTGTGTACCGTAGGTAATTTTTTTTTTGTTAATAATTTCAATTTACAAAACACAGTTCTACAATACTTACTTACGTTACTTACAATACGGGTTACTTATGCTGCCGATACAACACTCAATACAGTTCCTTACAGAAAATACAATTACTTGCAATACGGGCTGCTTACACTGCTAACAATATAATACTCTACTTACCGTAGGTAATGTCACTGAGAATTCCTCAAGGACAGAAGAAAAAGAGCCCACAGCTGTGATGCCAGCTGATAAACAATCCAGCAGGGTGTTCACCATCGTGTGGATCAGTTTAGCTGCGGTCCCGTTACCGTTACTTATTGCCGGGCTGATAGCTCGACTTCGCAGATGCAGCAACGGCCACTTGGAAACAAAACTGTTTGAGGTCGTCGAAGATTCTTTTACAAGTGAATTCAATAGTGATCATGAAAGAATCATTCAGGATGCTGAACTAAACAAATTTGTAGCGCTGGAGACAGTGCTTTCTCAAGGACGATGTGCTACTGTTTGGAAGGGTCGTTTTACGGGACAACTCGTTGCGGTGAAGATCTTTCCAATAACATCCATCTCGGCCTGGCAGAAAGAGCGCAACATATATGAACTTTTGTCGGTAGGACATTCAAATATTCCAAAGCTAACAACCTTGAGGGAAGCTCGTGACCAAGACAACGATCCCTTATGGTTTATAATGGAGTATTGCGAGAATGGATCTCTTCGGGAGTATCTGGAGAAGAAAGTTCTGAGTTGGAGTGAAGCTGTGGTATTAGCGAGTGGTATCACCAGTGCCGTTGCATTCCTTCACTCTGAGAGTTTTCAAGCTGGTGGTATAAAAGTCGCTGTTGCTCATCGAGATTTAAAAAGCACCAACGTTCTTGTGAGAAAAGATGGCACCAGTGTTATTTCAGATTTCGGCCTAGCAGTGCTCTTGAATTCTGTTGAAGACGAAAGCAAACACGTAAGTCAATTCTAAATTGTATTACAACGGCGAGGTACTGGGCGACTTATCATCTTGTTCAGTCATGTTTAAGATCTTTTTTTTTTGCCTGTGTTTATGAACTGAGTTGCAGTCGAGATCGATAAACAGGCAGACCGAGGCTAATATCCAGTCATCTTAAAGGGACACTGCCACAAATTTTAGCATGATTTTGGAAATCTCGAAAACATATATCGATCTTTGGAAGCTGAACAATAATGGTTTTATTTTGTAGGGCAGTACTCGACAAATGATTTGAACCCATTAGGAAGTGAGGATGGCTAACGATGGCGAGGATAGAAACGCATTGTGATATGGATTTTTGAAAAAGCGTCCGGATGTCAGTTTTTCAAAGCTTCAAGTTTGGCTCGAAAATCGTTGAAATTTTGCAACTGAAAAATGTTGCTGCAGTGTGGACTTTCTTCAAGAAATTGCTTTTAATCATTTAGTTAGAGCTAATTAAGTTGTTATTAGATAAATTTAGGAACCATTTCGTGAATTTATAACAGTTTTAAGCAAATATATCGTGACAGTGTCCCTTTAAGTCGAGGGTACACATGAAAATTAACCCTTACCCTTGGTTAATAGCAGGTTTATTATATAGCATACAGGACAGCATTTTCTATCGGAATACCGCGGAAAATCTCGACCCGCTTGGGTCGCCAATCATAGCGTAGAATTTGGTTCATCTTGTAAAAGTCCAATAAAGGTAAAAGGTTAAGTTTGCATACGAGCCAAGTGGCCCATC